TTTTTTTTTTTTTGTTTAAATTATAATTTTTGTTATGAATGAAATGGGATTTGTTTGCACGGGGAGTAATTTTAAATTAATTTTTTTTTTTTTTTTTTAACTCAGGATGAAATAAAATTTTAAATAATAATATTAATAAATATGGATGGCGGTCCGTTTGACGATCCTTTATTTTCGGATTTTTCTGGAATGGGTGTACCTGGAACTAGTAATTTATTAGGTGCGAAATCACCTCAGGATAACAGAGGAAACGTTCACAGCATCCACGTCATGCTCGGGCTACAACATTCGGATATGCTGTTGGGTAAGTTATCAATTTTTTATTTTTTTTTTTTTTGGGGGGATTTTCGAAATAAATAAATAAATAAATAAAAATATATGAAAGGTGTGCCTACGACAATAACCGCGACAATGCCGAGCACGGGAAAAATGGTGGATAATAATAATTGTAATCATCATCATCAACAAATTCAACATAATTCTCATATCCATTCACACGATCTCAATACTTCGTATGAGACTTCACAAATGCCGACAGATAATAATACACTTTCGAGGAGAAAACCTGATGAACCTGTAAATACAAATTCTAATTTATCTAATCAAAATTCTAATAAAAAAACGGATACGAAAAATAAAAAAAATGAAACGGGAGGAGTTAAAAAAAAGAAAACAAGGTATAATAATGTTTTTCTCTTTTTTTTTTTTTTGCAATTTGCGTTTTGTCAGTTAATATAGAATTTTATTAATTTAATATCCAGAACTACTTTTACTGCATATCAACTGGAAGAATTGGAAAGAGCTTTCGAAAGAGCACCTTATCCCGATGTATTTGCAAGGGAAGAATTAGCATTAAAATTAAATTTATCTGAATCGAGAGTTCAGGTTTGGTTTCAAAATCGAAGAGCCAAATGGAGAAAAAGAGAACCTCCAAGGAAAACCGGTTACACATTAAATACTAGTGAGCAAATGATAATTTTTTCTTATCATATAAGTAGGGGGAGGAGGGAGAGGGAGGGGAAGGAAAACGTGTTTTTATTTATTTATTTTTCTTTTTTAGGCACAACGAATGCAGCTTTGCCATCTACTTTTGCATCACTTAATAATACTTTAAGTCCTTTTAATGCTAGTCCAAATTCTTCAACTCCTGATTCTTGGTCTTACAATTCTCCATATTCCGATTTGGGACCCCATTTAAATTTATTAACTTCGACTAATTATCCACCGGCTACTAATTCATATTCTGCTCAAAATTCCACCTATACTTTCCTGGCTAATAAAACGGAAAATTATTTAAATATTCACGATTCGAATTTGTTCAGAACTCATCATGAATATTTGGATCACGAATCTCCTCCCCTGTCTACGGTACTCACAAATACTGTTAATTCTTCATCCATACTACCCACAAATCAATCTCCTCCGATGATGACGACACACGAAATAATACATAATTCGGATAAATCCATGTACATAGAAAATAGGGATAAAATGGAAGAATATCAACAGGTTAATCACGAACAAATGAATCACGAGGGTGACATGCACACATTCGATCAGGATAAAACCATAAATTCGGGAATTCAATTTCGGGAAGATAAACTCGTGGGTTTTAGAATACAAAAAGAAGAAAGTCCAGTGAATTGGGTAGAAAAAAATAATTATAGAACTGTCGGTAAAGATATTGGAACGGGAATAAAACAAGAAAATGGTAATAACGGTTATCAACAAAATGGCCCCCTTCCTCCTTTTATGAATTGACTACAAAAATTTAGGTGTAAAAATTTTTTAAACACCTAATTTCGAAAGACTTTAAAATTTATAACCGTTGAGTTGTTCTTTTGTTTTTTTTTTTCGCTGTATAAAATAAAAAATAAAAAGTTATTATTTGCTTTCTTATTTTTAATTAGAATTAATAAAAATTATATGAAAAAGGAAATATTTAGTGCATAAATTCGTGAAAAAAATTTTTTTTTTTGTACTTATTAACATATAAATAATCACACAGACAGATTTCCTATAAAAAATACGTACTTTTTTTTTTTTCTTTCTAAAATTAATAACGTTTATTTAATTATTATTAATTAAAAATATGTATATATGTATATACACGTGTTTTTGTGCGTGGGTGCGTGTGTGTGTATTTCTAGTTTTATACGTATTAAGCATAAGAAAAAAATTAACATGTAGATGGATGGTATTCCTTGTGCCTTATTATTATTATTATTTAATACCTATAAATTTGTATTAATTTATAAATAGTGTAAGTAAGAGTGAAATTAATTAAATATACATAATATTTAATTTTTTGACTTTTTTTTGTCCCTTTAATAAAAGAAGTTTAAATTTTTAATTTTTGAAAACTTGGCCATTTTTTATACTAATGAAATAACCAAAATGTTTTGATTTTTTTTTTTTTTTTTTTTTTATTAAAAAAAACTTTAAAAATACACTATATAAAAAATATTAAAAAACTACTAGTGATTATCATTTATACCATCGCCGGAAAAATTATGAGGTTTTTCTAAATAGTACAAACATAATTGAAGAATTTTATTTTTCGATTTTGTTCCACATTGAAATAAATTTGTTTCTTCGAAATCATTTAAATTTTTAACATGTTCTTCATTTTCTTTTATTCTATTAATGCAATCGATAATACTGTGTCTGGAAAAAATTGTTTTTTTATATTTATAAATATTGCTGCAATAAAAAAAAAAAAAAAATTTATATGAATAAAATGTTCTTTACTTTGGATAAAGCACAATAAATAAAGCCTCAATAATTTCATCTTCGCTGTATTCAGTTTTCAGGTAATCTAATGTGTCAATAATTGTAGGAAATGAAGACATTGATAATCTAGGATGTCTTGTTAAAAATGAAAATGTTTTTTCTGAAATCCCTAATTTTCTACGCAATAAAAAGAATAAATCATATAATAAGATTCTCCTGAAAAAAAAAATTTAAATATATTTTAAACAATTTGTAATTTTTGTTTTAAAAGTCTCGAAAATTTCCAACAAACAAATCAAAACTAAAATTTATATTATAAATTTACATACCTAGGTGAATAATATGTATTTCCTGAATTGAGATATTCTAATATTTCCTGTTCAGCATCTTGATTTGAAAGATTTAATATTGATTCAGGCATTTCAACCAACTTTAAAAATTTTTCATGACTTTTAAAATTACTAAGAGTAGGATGAGAATGTAAAAAAAGTACTGTTGAAAAAAAACGTTTTAATCCTCTTTTAAAATAAGGCACACCAGCTTTTATTTGTTCATTAGTAAAATCCAAACTCTAAAAATAATTTCAGATGGAAAATAAGTTTGTTAAAAATTGTTTTTTAAACACAACATTTCACATATATGTTCAATTTCAAACATGAAATTCAATCGCAGTATAATAGCATTACATAATGAATTTATTTTTTATAAATTTCTCAATACATACTTGTAAAAAATTTACTATTGTATTTGCAACAGGGAAAGGAACTGATAAAAATATATTTTTTACAAATGACATATCAACCCATGTTTCAAATAATTCCTTATCAAAATTTTTATAAAATTCCATATTGAAAGGTTTCGAGAACAATAAATAAGTTTTGATGTGTACCTACAATAAAAAATTTTTGAATTTTTAAAAGTTTTTAATTATAAAAAATAATATGAATAAAATAAAATTAACCTACATCTTCAAGTTTTGTACTGTTTTCTGTATTTATAGCATCAACATTTTGCTTTAAAGTATTTAGACTTCTACCTTTCAGTAATAGAAGTGAATATGAACTAAAACATTTGTTTATCATTCGATAATCTACATTCAATTTCCATGCTAAAAAATGTCTTTCAATTGTATTTCTAATTTTATCCACAGTTAATGTCCTGTTTTTATTAATATGGTTTAAACAGATTGATTCATTGGGAAAAGGTTCAATTATAGACATTAATTTGTCTGCGATACTTACTCCTTCATTTAAAAAATTATTACTTTTTAAAATTTTAATATCTGAATTAAGAATTTTATATCTGAAACAAAATTTTTTTTTTTTTTTTTTTTTTTTTTAAGGTTTACATTAGAGAGTTGTTTGAATCAAATTTTAAATTCTTTTGCTTACTTTAATTTATCTTCCAATAAAAATACCGCCTTGTTAAATCCACATTCGCCGAGTAATTCATTCAAAAGAAATATTTCATATTTTTTTCTTTCACCTTTATAAAGGTTAGCTAATTTATAATAAATATTACTCTTAAGTAAATCTTTTTGTGCTGTATTATCACTTAAATATTGTCTAGATATTGAATTTCTGTAGACTTCTGAAAAAAATTAACCTTAAAATTTTATGGAAAGCTATATTTTTCATAAATATTGGTCAAAACATTACCGTCAGAGTGAATTTTCAAAAAAGGTGTAACTGAAAATTTTGAAAATATACTACTCGTTAAAGAGCATTTTAAATTTCTAATATTTTTACTACTTTTCATTTTTCATAGCTATGCCACAATCATTATTTTAACTTTTTTTTTTTTAAAATTTAACTCTCAAACAAAAAAAAACAATTTTTTTAAAAAATTTGAATGAAATTTAAGTTATAGCTTAGTCAAATTAATTAATATATATTTAATGAAACATTATTTTAATAAACAGTGCAGTAAAAAAAAAATATAAAACTTTTTGTTTTTGTTTAAATATAAAATTTTAAAGTTTTTGTTAAGGATAAGTTTAATAAGGAAACCGACATTGTATTGTAACTGAACAACTAAAATGGCGTCCGATGAAAGAAACTTTAGATCGTCGTATTATGAAAAAGTAGGGTTCAGAAGTGTTGAAGAAAAAAAATCATTAGAAATATTACTTAAGGAAAAACCTTTAGATAAAGTTAAACTTAAACAATTTTGTTTGAGATTTACTGTTCCTTGCGCTTACAGAAATTCATTATGGAAACTACTCTTGAATGTTACTCCTAGGTATTCAAATAATCTTGATTTTGTTATAAAACAAAGAACTGAAGTAAGAACTTGATTTCTGATTTTTAATTATTAACTTTATTCTTTTTTAAAAATTGTTTCGTGTTTTTTAGGTTTACGAAGAACTTTTTCATGCTTTAAAAGTTATGAATGTTATCACGAATGACACTCCAAAATCTCATTTGTTTTTATATATGTGGTTATTGGAAACCGGACAGTTAAAACTTAACATGCAAATGCAAATGGATGATGAAGTGCTGAAAGGTTTGTAAAATTAAAAAATTACTAAAGGCTTTATGATTATAAATAACTAACTGAATCTATTTTAATTCATAAAAAAATTTTTTTTTTTTTTTACAGGATTGATGAAAATTTCACAATGTTTATTAAATATTTTTACTAATGATGTAGATATATATTGGTTATCAAAAGGTTTCTATAATACTGTCATTCATTTTTATGAAAGTATTCCGAATATTGTAGAAGCAGCTAAATTACTATTAGAAAAGGAAGATAAAACTTTGCACAGGCATTTAAATGAAATAGAAGGTTTTGATAAACTTTGCCTAAGGCAGTGGTTTGTTTGCTTATTTGCTGGAGCTCTACACGATGCTGCTCTGATTAAAATTTGGGATAAAGTAGTCGGTAAAACATTGCTTGCAACATTTTTTGTTCCACAAATCAAATATTTTATATTTATTTTAATAAAATGAATTTATGGAAATTTGTTTTTATTACAGGTGGTAGTTTTAAAATTTTAGCATTTCTGATTGTTGTTATATTAATGACATTTAGAAGAAATTTATTGAATTCTGATTCGATTGAATTTTTTTTGGAAGAACTTAAAAATATTTCGGAAGAAACATCAGAAGTTATAGCGAACAAAGCTGCTGAACTGTGGCAGCAATATGGAAGTCCACTCGTAATTGGAGATGTTAGAAAAGACAAAAACGACATGACTCATGATATGAGTTGCACAGATAATTTAAAGTTATTATTGAAGTAAAAAAAATCATTTCAAAACTATTTATATTTTAAAAAAATTTTTTTTAATCATCTTTTTTTTTTTTGTGAGCATAAAAAACGTGAATCATTTGATTTTTTATAAGTTTTGCTGATTGTATCAGCTGCACAAAGTTTTTAATACTATAAAGCATAAAGTTAACTTTTCGAATGGAAAATGATTTTAAAATCAGGCATAAAGGAAGAAAAGTATTTTAATAATTGTTTACAGTTAATTTGTAAATTATTTATATATGTATATATATTTATATAATCAAGAAAATAATTTTTTTAAAGAAAACGTTAATCATATATTTATTATTTATATTTGTTATGGAATAAAAAAAAAAGTTTTATTTTTTTAAAATGCGTTTTGTTAAATTTATTTATTTTAATCAAAATGATTTTAGAGAACAATTTTTTTTTTTTTCACTCACAGAAAATTATGTAACTTCTATAGGGGAATCTTTACAATTTTAATCTTTTTGAAAAATTTATTTCTATTATTATAGAACAAATTAATTTGTTTGAAACATACATTCATAGCCATTGCTTTTTTCAAGTAAAAGGTTATCATTTATTAAATTTTTTTGATTATTTACTTAGTAAAAATTTGAAATTGAAACGAATATTTTTTTTAGTTACGGTCCTGATTGTTTTTGATAATTTATTATTGATAAGAAAAATTTCAGTTTGATTGTGATTTATACTTAATAACATTGATTAAATAGTTTTCAACGATTAAAATATTTTAAAATGAATGTACGAAGGCTTGTTAGCGTAAAAGACTATGAAGACCATGCAAAAACTATTTTACCCAAATATGCTTTAGATTATTATTCTTCAGGAGCTGGCGAAGAAATTTCATTACGTTTAAACCGATCTTCTTTTGCTAAGTAAGGTCACACAATAACATGATAATGGTATCATTATTATTTAAATTTTTACATAACACTACTTATTTATTTATTTTTTTTATGACAATACATCAATATTTAGTTATAGAATTCGTCCAAGGTTTTTAAGGGATGTTAGTAAAAGAGATTTGTCGGCTACCGTATTAGGAACAAAAGTTTCCATGCCATTAGGTATTTCCCCAACAGCTATGCAAAAGATGGCACATCATCTGGGAGAAGTTGCCAGTGCAAAAGGTAACGTATTTTTTGGCATTATCTTCTCACATTATATTTTAATTTAAATTTTATTGATTTTTTTAGCTGCTGGTAAAGCAGGTACTATTTTTATTCTATCTACAATAAGTACAAGCAGTATAGAAGAAGTAGCTGAAGGTGCACCTGAAACTGAAAAGTGGTTTCAATTATACATATATAAAGACAGGTAAAAATTTGTTTAAATTTTTTAATGGTATAAAAATATAAAAAAGGAAATTGAATTACAGAATGTCAACAGTAGATCTAATAAGAAGAGCGGAAAAAAACAATTTTAAAGCATTGGTTTTAACTATTGATGCTCCAATATTTGGAATCAGACATGCAGATTCTAGAAACAAATTTAAATTGCCACCACATTTAAAAATGGCAAATTTTACTGGTCTTAAAGCCAACAGTATTAATCAAGCTAAAAAAGGAAGCGGTTTAAACGAATATGTGAATGAATTGTTTGATCAATCATTGACTTGGGATCATATTAAATGGCTAAAAAGGTTAAATTTTTTACAAAGTTTTCTCTTAAAATTATCATCATCTGTTTCAAACTTGTTTTTTACAACATTAAATAATATTTTCCACTGGAAAAATTAGATTTGTAGTTTGAAAGCAATTAAAATTCATAATTTTTTTTTTTTTCATTCATTTTAAAATTTTTTACTGATAGTGTGACATCTCTCCCAATAATTCTCAAGGGTATTTTAACATCAGAAGATGCTGAAATGGCCGTTTCATTAGGAATTTCTGCAATTTTTGTATCAAATCATGGAGCAAGACAAGTTGATCTAGTACCATCTCCTGTAATTACATTTCTTTTCTTATAACAGTGAGCAATGCAATGTGTATTAAAAACGATGAGAATTACAAAATAATAATAATAAAATTATACATTTCCAGATAGAAGCTTTACCTGAAATATCAAAAGTTGTTAATGGACAATGTGATATTTATATTGATGGAGGTATAACCAAAGGTACAGATATATTTATTGCATTAGCACTTGGAGCTAAAATGGTTTTCATAGGTCGTTCTGTACTTTGGGGTTTGACATGTGATGGAGAATCAGGAGTGACAAATGTTTTAGAAATTTTAAGAAATGAATTAGATAATACAATGTGTCTTACAGGAAAGACAAAATTTACTTCACCAAATTCTATTCCATTATGGCACTGAAAAATAAGATTTTTTTTGTCTTTTTACAGGATGCAAAACTCTAAACGACATTAATAGTAAAATGGTTGTTCAAGCGTCTTATTATTCAAAATTTTGAAGACATTAAAAGAAAAATAAAATAGTTTTTTAATAAATAATTAAAACGTTTTAATAAATTTCGTTAATACTTATTTCAAATTTGCATGACGGTAACTGTTTGGTTGTCTTAAATGAATTTCACATAATATTATTTTGTTTTCTTAATTATTAGTAAAAATTTCAATTTCTATAGATCTGAAAATATTAAATTTCTTTTAATAATTTTTTATTGTAAACTAACACCATATTTTTTTATTTTCACATTTGAATAATTGTTTAAAAATAATAATATTGTTAATGTAAGCACAAATCATTTATGATGAATGTGTACGTTTTTCGAACAGGTGTTAAAAAACATGTCGGTGAATAACGGTTGTTAGTAGTGAGGAATAATCTTTTTTTTTTTTTTTTTTTTTTTTTGTTAATAATTTCATTCATTTTTATATTTTTCTTTTATATTATTATTATTTTTTTAAATAGAAAATTTAAAAAAAAAATAATAAAGTGAATTTGTGCAAAATAAAAAAATTTATTGGTAATGATTTTTTTAAAGAGTTGCTTTTTACGTATAAGGTAATTACATTAATTATGCTTTGATTTAAAATTTTAACGTAATTATATTATTCTATGTAAATGCAGAAATTTAATACTTGAGAGCAAATAATGCTTGTTTATATAAATTATAAATTTTTCTATTGTAAATTACCCATACATTATTAATTTCTCGTTAATTTTTAATTTGCCAATCATTATAATTCTAGTTATCAGTTTTATGAATTTCAATTTTTTTTTTTAATGTAAAATTTTATTATTATTAATGCAAGCATCAAATTTTATTTGAATGTTTTCTACTGACTAGGGAAAATAAATCTTTTCTTTTTTCTGTTTTTTTTTTTTTTATTAATTGTAATTCATTATTTTAAAATTATTGTTTTCATTAAAAAGCCCTTTAGTATAATTTAATTAAATATTTTATTCACATATTAAATTCTTGCATTTTGTAAAGTAAATTTTTATTGGCATAGTTCAAAATCATAATAGGTTCATGTTATTTTGTAAAATTTTGTATGATATTAAAAACATTTTTATTAAAAAATCAGTAAATTTAAATTCATGGATGATTAAATTTTAAATTTATAGTAGACATACTAGAATTTCAAATAATATGAATCTTGTGGTGATAATAATAATTCTTAATCAAATATTTATTATGTAAATACTTAGTTGTCAAATGTATGAATAAATGATGTTCATTTTAGAATTTACTGTTAAATAAGTTTTTTTTTTTTTTTTAAATTAATTATATTCAAGGTAAGTAAAGGATATTATAATAAATAAAAAAAAAAATTAATGAATACATAAAATTCTATTAATTAATTATAAAATATATATATATATATATGAACAGTGCATCAATCTTCTCTTTTAATATTTTTTTTTTACACAGAAATTATCTTAAACACAATTTTTATTATTATTAATAATGCGTTAAAATTACAATAAATTATATTGTCAATAAAAACAAATTAACAAAGAGTTTTTTAAAAAATAACAATAAATGTCATTTATTATATATATATATGATTTATAATAAATCTGACATTTTCGAATTCGGCCTCTAAATGTTGTTTGCCATTTTAACATTATTAATATCTGAACGTGCTATAATGCAACCAATCCTCCTTAAATGCTCTATTATTATTTTTGAAAACATTCCGTAGATGGCGTATTTTATTTGAACTTAATTTTTTTTTTTTTATTATCAGTAAATAATGAAAGCAAAAACTAAGCGTTTTATTATTGTTTTGACGGGTGTTTTTCTTGTAGGTAAGTACAGTATTGTTATTAATTTTTAATTTTTCAATTCGTGTGTGAAATAACTGTGTTTGATTAAAGAATTAATTTTGTACACTTAAAAACCAATGTAACATAGTTCAGTAATGTACTTGATTTTTCTTATATATATATATATATTTTTTTTTTAAATCATACATATGTTTTTATTAAAAAATAAATTTTTACACATGTTTATTTTCAGTATTTTGTATATTTTCGATTTTTTCTGATTCTGACTATAAATATCTATCACTTGAAACGCCACAGAGGGACAAATTTGAACATTTTGAAAGAATAGTCAAGACTGAAATTCCTGTAAATATTCCATCCAGATTTGTTCATAAAATTAATTTTGAAAGTTTAGAAGATGCTAAAAGAAGAATTAAAGAATTGGAAGAAAAATTATCTGCTTTGGAACTTAGAACTCCTAAAAAGTTTCCAGAAACAAAGTTTCTTAACTATAATACTAGAAAAAGAATATTGGTAATATATATATATGTGTAATAATTACATGAGTATTGCAATAGCTAATTTTTTATTATGTAATCTTATTAAACTGGTATGTATTATTATTATTATATCAGGTGACTGGAGGTGCTGGTTTTGTTGGGTCTCATTTAGTTGATTCATTAATGACCCTTGGACATGAAGTAATTGTTGTAGATAATTTTTTTACCGGATCAAAAAGAAATGTCGAACATTGGATTGGGCATAGAAATTTTGAATTGATTCATCATGATATTGTCAATCCTTTATTTATTGAAATAGATGAAATTTATCACTTAGCTAGTCCTGCTAGTCCTCCTCATTACATGTTTAATCCTGTAAAAACTATTAAAACTAACACTGTCGGAACTATTAATGTTCTCGGTGGGTTAATTGTCTTGTATATATTTTAATTGTTAATAAATTTAAGCATTCAATGTTTGCTCATACATAGTTTTTATTTTAAAGGTTTGGCCAAAAGAGTTGGGGCCAAAGTATTAATTGCAAGCACATCAGAAATTTATGGAGATCCAGAAGTTCATCCTCAGTCTGAAACATATTGGGGACATGTGAATCCGATTGGTAAGTTTCAAAAATATAAAAAATTTTTTTCTTTTTTTTTTTTTTCTTAAATTTATCTCATCATTTAGGTCCAAGGGCATGTTATGATGAAGGGAAAAGAGTTGCAGAAACTCTTTCCTATGCATATGCTAAACAAGAAAAATTGGATGTTAGAGTTGCCAGAATATTTAACACATATGGTCCTCGAATGCATATGAATGATGGGAGAGTAGTTTCTAATTTTATTTTGCAGGCATTAAAAAATGAAACCATCACTGTAAGTTATTGAAAAATGTGATAAATTTTATACATTGCAAAAATATTCAAAATATTTTTTTAAAATTTTACTAGATCTATGGTACAGGAAAACAAACGAGATCCTTTCAATATGTGTCTGATTTAGTAGATGGCTTATTAGCATTAATGGCTTCTAATTTTACTGAACCTGTAAATTTAGGCAATCCAGTTGAAAGAACGATTCAAGATTTTGCTCTTATTATAAAAAAATTAGTTGGTGGTAGTTCAAAAATTAAACAAACCATGGCAGTTGAAGATGATCCTCAAAGGAGAAAACCAGATATAACAAGAGCTAAAAAATTTTTAAATTGGGAACCAAAGGTAAATTTTACAAAAAAAAACTTTATTCATTAATATAATTTTATTTATGGAAAAAATTGATTTATGAGGTAAGTCGAAACAAGTTTTTATTAAATCCTCTTAATA